TAAAATGCAGCGCATCAGAGGATAGCATTCCAATTTGGCTCAAATAGGTGACCACAATGCAGCGTTGTTTTGGTACTGGGCTACAGAGGGTGCGTGTTATAGACTAAGGAGCCACTCTCATTCCACAACTCACCAGCACGTAAAGCCAAGAGAGTAAGTTTATTGGGTCTCTAGCCATAGACTAATTTGGTACGAATGAATCTGAAGATTCAAAAAGCGCCACTCAGCATAGCTCAATGGATCGCTGAGGAACGCAAACCATCGCATCATGTCAAGGTCTAGTTTCGTCGCGATAGCCATGCCTGAATCAGTATTTCTCATGGAGATCTAGGTGTTTTGTTGTTGGACAAGGTGTATGACCACCTTTACTGTGACTCAGAAGAGTTCTAGCAAGGGATGATTGAGCATATGGTCCATTATTTCGTTACTAAATACCGACAACACATTGCGATGTGTAGCACTAAATAAACCCCAAGATCATTTTGCTTCTGGCAGTATTGGTTTGCAATTTTTGAGGACATGATTCATGACAATGCGCAGTCGACTGCTGTAAGATGATGTCGTCTCGTGTATTCTCACCAGTGCGACGCTTTATACATCGACTGTGCTTGCATCCACCAAGTACAGTGTATTTGTAGTGCGAAAAGCGAGATAAACAGACCGAAGTATGTCAAACCTAGGTTGCTATTCTGACTTCTTGTACACTGCATTGATAACACTACAACAAAAATGGCCATGTGTATGGAAGTTAATTTTGCATTTCGCGTATTTTCGCCAAACACTACATACAACTCGTCGAATAATTCGCTTACACATATACAGACACAGTGAGCGCCATATGTCAAACATTGGCAATCAAAGGGCAGTTGATGCGGAACACGAAGGAAAGGCAAAGATAGCCATTAGATCGGTATGTTTGCACAAAACGGGTTATAGCGCTCGCTTCGCTGAGGGTTCAGCAAACTGCAGTAGGTAAGCAGTGCTCCGTGTTTTATTATAAATGAAGCACGCTAGTGTTGGCACGTAGAGCAGTCCAGTATGGGCGAGCGAGCAAACTAGTAGGCAGCTTGGATGTTACTGTAACAATCTGTAGCTGCAAGGCATGTTTCCGCAGCGGCCGGAAGCGACGATCAAACAGGGCATCGTGATAGTGCCAAAAATAAAGTGTATCGTCAATTGTGACGAATTTGCCAAAAATGAAATGTAGGGACTTTAAGTGGACAATTTTTCGTGCGAGCATTCTCTCGTGTGGACATATTGGGGTGGGTATACATATCGACGAGTTTTAATTGTGCGAATTTTTGTGTGTTCTTCATGCCATTCACCGTAGAGTTGTATTTCTAACAAATGGATGTTGATATCGTAAAGAGGATTGAGCATCCTTTCGGTAACAAAGCAAAGGGAGAGCGTATGAACTGTGAAATCAGTTATCAGCTTCAAATCAGCGATATTCCCTGAATTAGTCAAACTGCTTTGAAGATAGAATATTCAGTCGGAGTTTTGTTCTCTAAGAAAACGCACTACAACGGTTTGGACAATTGTACAAAGCCCCCTAGTTTAGTTTCCATAATTTTGGATAAAATTATTCATTATATAAACATATATAAACCGTTTTCATCCAAGGAATTCCGGCTATTTGGACTACCATTTGAGTGGAAGGGCAAAGGCATGTCAAACTCGCTAGACCAACTCTAAACACAGTTGTAGGAAACATCTCAAGTCCCCTCAATCCCTATCAACGAATACATATCTTGCACATCTATCTTTTACTGCGTCATACATATTGCCTCTTATTGGCGGAGGTGCACCGGCAGACACTCAAATCGATGGATAGGCTGGTCCGAGCAAGTATACGAAAATGGCCACAACTTCCCAAGGACACCAGCGTCGCTTTCTTTCACGCATCAATTGAGGATTATGGCTTAGACATTCCGTGCCTTTCTATTATGATACCATTGATTCGGAAGCACCGCTTGGAACGCCATCTTTCACACTCCAACCCAATTACCAGCTGGGCGATACGGGAAGCTTCAGCGGCTACCATCCAGCCTCTCACCATGAAACCCGTGATCGTTGGAAACCAAGCCGTCTTTGAAAAATTAACGCGAAGCATGAAAAAATTCACTGCTACAATCTGTAGACGGATCCTTACTTCGGGGGGTATTTACGATACCAGCGTCACATAACTGGATAGGAAAACCCGAACGACTTTTTCCTAGACTCTATATCAGAAGAACCCAACTTCGAGCAGGAGTGCTGACGAGAAAATCTCGATGCTCCAGAGGATGATCACCCCGAAATCCAACCGATCTTCACTGCCAAAGCGCTTGTGGGCAAAATGAAACACTTTCCCAAGTCGTGCAGTAACTTACGATGCTCGCTGCAAGAGGCACAACGATATAGTGAAGCAAGTAACCAACACCCTTCGTCGTAAAGGAGCGCAAATCATCCCGGAGTTCCGCATCTTGGCGGCATCAAGGTACATCAAGCCAGATATAATCGTCAACAAGAACTTTACAGCACAAGTAATGGAGGTGGCACTATGCGACACCTAGAGAACGTCCCGCAGCTACCAACTAAAATTGACACATACAGTATAGGTGCTCATGCGCTAGGAATTTCCTACGGCATTAAATATCATGCATCAGCGTATAAGCATTAACAACTAGAATCATATGTTCCCAGCGTCCACCAAGCACGTTTCGGCACTGGAGCTCACCAAACTTGACATACCAGACTTGTAAGTGTCCACCATAAGAGGATGCCTTCAAGTTTATGACACCTACATGCGGGGTGCAATGTCACAAAACATATCACACTAACACCGTACACTCACACGTTCGCGAGCGATTCCGACCACCTTTTTACTTTTTATATGACTACTGTTTCAGTATTACGCCAGGACATTTGTCCAATCTCGGCGAGTTTATGTAATGCCCAGGCCTTGGGTCATGCATGAATTTGCCGAAAATATATGCTCGTGGACGACGATTCCCAATGAAGTAAAGCTTGGTCAATACGATCACCTGGACCGTAACTGAGGAAGCAGATAGGCAATGACCCAGTTTTCCACTGTCTCTTTACAGGCCTTCGCGTATTTTGTGCGGGTTTGTGAACAAACCTATGCAGGTGCACGACTACTGGAAGTTTGTAGGTTACTATGACTCCAGCAAATTCAGCATAGCTTTAATAGCCTTGTGCTACACGAAACGACCAAAGCAATGAGCAGCAACCGTCCAATGATTGAACTGGCCAAGATTTACTTCGATGGGAAATGCGATCCACATCGTGACTGCGCATCGCAATTCATTCACAAAACGTGCGCTTTACAATGACCCACCAACGTTAGGTCATAACAGATTAAGCAATTCGGGTGTCTGACTTTCCAATAGTCGCACAGCTATGCAAGTTCATGCGTACAGGCACAAACACATAAACTACGCGAGGACCGTTAGGTTTACAAAACGTAAAACGTGTTTTGCCTAACGCAATTTAAAGTAAAATGGCATATATATATATATATATATATATATATATATATGTGGTTGGCGGCATCCGGTTTCGGATTTGCCTGTCACTGTGGCAAGCCACAGGACGCCTGCGCCTACAGAGGGACCATGGATGGCTTGCGCTGCACCACCCACAGCTCCAACCACATACCCCATATCCAGTGTAAACCCGAAGGAATAAGACCGGGAGGCATGCGGATGGGAACCACGTTTCATCAACGGAGCCGGCCCACACTCCTTCACAGGCAAACACAAGCACGCTGTATTTGGGGAATCAAGCGCACACAAGGCGGTGGCTGGACCGTAGTCCGCTCCACACTGAGTGCATGGAACCGCTCTTTGAGCCTAGCACGGCCACAAGAACCGTGCACCCCGTCCCCTCCAGCAACGACCAACTGTCTCCTGGAGCCAGTATGAACGAGGTAGAGGGTAATAGACAGGTAGGCACCTTGTCAGCATACACATCAAGCGCAACCATACCAGGGATATCAAACAACAGCCATTCACTTTAAACGACAAGCTGAAATAAAATAAATCCACGTAATGCATACAGACACAGTGGCATTATTCTTCGCTAAATTACCATCTGAAGTAATTTGTTTAGCAACAAATCCGTTATAAGTAAGAAATGTCCACAAGTTACTTAAAATGCTACAAACGCAACCAAATTACCGAAGATAAGCGCAATTAGTGTAAGCAACGTGGCCAGTTAGTAGAACATTATTCAGGGAGGTAGAATAAACTAAATAAAGCGGAATGAAATTTATTCAGCTTCAATAGACCTAGTTTAAGTGTAAGTTGGTTTAGCCCAACTGCGGTGAAGAAGCATCAAGAATGCAACATCAACCTCAGCATGGGGCACATATATATATATATATATACATATATATATATATATATACATATATATATATATATATATATATATATATATATGAGCACATCACCTTAATGACCACGGCAGATCTATGGTGAGTTCTCTTCACTCTTCGCTATCAGTATGACGTACGGTAGAGTAGCATATTCCCATTAGCGCACAATTGAGGGTGTCCTAGTGAGCACTCTGCAACGCACACAGGCAGATATGCGTTTGATCGGCTAATGCAAGTCCAATGCATAGTTGGGCGAGTAGATCAACGCTTCCACAACCAGTCAGAGCAGCGGATATTTTGGCTTACTGCAAATCAAGCAGTGAAGCGAAGAGTCTAATGTCCTGGTACCTTAAGCAGTGAGGCCACAAAGCAGACAGTTGAATCCATAAAATGCTTTAACCCACGCTTGGATTCGTATTAATAAACATGACCGTCATTTTAGAGGTCACGTGGTCTGCGCAGAGACAGGAATGTCAGTCAGTGCGGAGGTGGATGGTAAGCTAACCTGATGGTGAATTTAGCGTAATACGTACAAAAAATAATAAACAAACGGTGTAGAGAGACGTTTCATTAATAGCAGCTATATGAGAACGGTGGGTGTCGACCATGGAGGACATACCTGTAGTTGGCTCCGCAAACGGATTATAGTCATCGAGGGGGTCTGCTCTGTTAGAAGCCTAAAAAACAAAGTAAAAAAGGTAAGTTCTATTGTGGAACATGCGAGTTCTCCTGATAAGGTTGTACGCCAAATGATGGCATAAATTGTACAAAAGAAACACGGAACAAAATATTACCCATGTAAGGTACAACAAGATAAGCAGTGTAAAGCCTAGCATCTATAGGTATCAAACGAAACATCAGACAAATCGTCGTGTGGTGGATTTATAAGTGACCATATGATTAATGAAGGATAGATATATCGAGGCTTAGACGTTGGGGACTGAGTCGGGAACGCCCAGCTACAGCGAGCTTCAACGTTTGCACGTTAACGCACTGTATCTAGGTTTTACACTGGCCTACTTGCCGTCGCTTCCAGCCCACGCCTGTGCGCGCAAAGAGGACACCACGTTGTAGCTGCTGGGTAAGCATGCGAAAAACATGCCCAAGCCAGCGAAGCTTCAGCAGTGAAAAGATGCTATCAATCGGTCACTGGAGCTTGCCAAATTTAAAGACCCGCCGACGAACCTTCTCATTACTGATGTGATGTTGCCATCAAACACCAGAAATGCTCGGCAGGCAGTGGCGATCGAGGAAAGATAGACGCTGGAGACCACTGGCGGGAACGGGCCAAATCTCGCGGTCATACAGCAGAACCGCTCGCACCGTAATCTTGTAGACTCCGCCTTTCAAAACGAGGCTGACGTCACAAGAACGAAACAGGTGATGGAGCCTAATAAAACCTACTCCAGCATTGGAGGTACGCAATGAGATTTGGTCCGTCAAATCGCCAATACTAAGACAACCGCCAAGGTGAATGAATTTGCCGACCACCTCCAGCGGATGCTCCGAAAAGGTTCAGTTCGATTCAGTTGAAAAACTATGATCCGAGTACAGAAGTGTCGTGGATTCAGTGCCGTAAGAATAACAATAAATAACAACGGCAAGATAGTAGGGTTGAATGCAAATAGCATGCAAAGAAAACGGAAGCAAGAAATAAGTGCGTTAAGCTAAGCAGACCGGAACGAAAATTAAGAACCAGATCTAAGAAACCGAATTCAGGAACGCCACTGATTGGGTGACTGAGCCTTGTCTGATACGGTCTCCAACTATTGGTGTGGACAATCCCGAGGTCCCCAATCCACGAAGAGAGAACGCACCAGCCTGGTCAGTTTCTTCATGACCCTATGCCACGTAATGGACTGGCCACCTCGCGGTTTCGCCCAACTTGATGCAGCTACGGCGCGTAATGCACGCCGAGGAAGCCGGTCAACGGACATAGAGAGGACATGGTCTAGGCAAAGTAGGCGTTTGTGATTCAGCAAATACTCGAATGAGGCACCGGAAGACTTCTTACTAAAAAGAATTGGCAGACCTCAATATTGCTCAATCTGTGTTCCCACCAGACGTGAGCAATACTCCGCAAGCACCAGTGGTCAAACGTGGCCAAGCGTTTAATGTCTTTGCTTTGAACTGGCCGTCTCTGATCCATACAATAAGACCAGCCTTACCGTAGCGTTACCATTATCATCATCATAATACACTTTAGTCAGAGGTGGAAAACACCTCAACTACTACGCCGTCATAACTAAAAAAAGAAAAAAATGCAATAGATGCTGAGCTACCAGTAGCGTATGGGCATCGTACCGGAAAGCTACTAACCGGCCAGTGTGCCGTAAAAAATTTATGCAAAATTAAATTATGCCAAAACATGAGATCGTGGTTGGAGGGGGAGGCTAAGAGGGATGGGGAGGGACAAATAAACTCACAGCACGAACGTCACTGAGGCAGTATCGTTGTCATCTCAACAAGTGTATCCAGTCAAAGGTGCTCATCGTTTTTCGGACCCCAAACAGGGAGCCGAGATCCAACAGAGGCCAGCTACGAAGTGAGGCCCTTCATTCATATCGACTAATTCATCGCTTGGCCACCCCTCTTCTTCCATCCACACCCCCGGCGCGCAAACAACGGACGTCAAGGGATTCCGTGGGCTGGCATCAGCAACACGTGGCCAAGCCATCGGAGCCTGGTGCGTGAAATAACGGTAATCACAACCTTATACATCCTACTTTTCACTGATAGGATGATATTCCGCCGTTTTCACATGTATGGCTGAGTCTCTGGAAAGCCACACGGGCTTTGCAGATACGCGAAGTAACTTCCTCAGTGATGTGGACACAAGTAGTGACACAACTGCCAAGGTAAGTGAACCGATCCACCACTTTTAGTGGCTGTTCGGTGATAGCTAGAACCGGAGGTGTGTCGGTTCAATCCTGTAACAGCAGGTGCAAAGCACATGCCGAAGCGTGCAGCGTTATGCGTCCGTTTATCAAGTAGTGTTTGCATAGCCATTTCGTAAGACCCAAGAAGTGCAATGTCGTCCGAATACTCCAGGTTTGTCAGTCGGTCATCTGGCAGAACTTCCACTCCGGTAGATTTGGAAAGAACCGAGTCACTCATGACCTTGCTGTAGGACAATCCTGGGACCCGCTTGTCGTGAGGAACTCAAAAGAGAGTTTCCCGCAGAGTCATACACGGCCTCAGAAATCAAGGTAGAGAGACTGCATAATGGAAAGGAATTTAGCTGACACGCTCTTCATGGATAGGCAGTGCCACAAGGTGGCGCGGTCAACAGAGTCGAAGGGAGCTTTCAAGTCAAGGAAAACCATCATAGTCAGTCGTCTGTGTGTCACTGCTCTAAAACTTGGTGACCAGTAAAAATATGGTCGATGCTACCACGACCAGTGCGAAAACCAGCCTGGCTTTCAGTGAATCGGCTCTCACGGGGAGTTGTAAGTCGTCGAAAAATGGTACCCGAGGAAAGTCTGCATACAAATGAAAGAAGGCTAATGCCTCAATGATTTTCGCATAAAGTACACTGACCCTTCTTGGAGATGGGTACAACGGTTGAGAGTTGCCGGTCGGGAGGCACTTCTTCAGTGTTCCAAATCGTGCTAAACACAGAACTGATTCTAGTCAAAAAGTCACCCCATCTTACAGCAAAGATGGACGAAGGTTGTCAGGTCCAGGATCCTTGGCCACTCTTGTAACAATGTAGTATACTTGGAAGGGTCAAATGTCAACCAAAATCGGGAGGCAGACATCTACACCCTAAGCAGCACATGGTGGACGGTTCGGGAGGACTCACAAAGAGCAATTTCACCTGCGCACTCCAAGTTCCGAAGACGGTCACCCGAGAACAGTTCGGCGCTGGAGAAATGAGTTTTTCAGGACATTTTCTATGATCTCGTCCATGGCGAGGAAGGGAGACGCTGGGCAACCCTGTTTAACACCAGTAATAATACAGAAGTGGCTAAAAGTCCCCGTATTCTCGCACGTGGCCCGAGGTTTAATAGTAGATGGCACGGAGAATGATGATGGACTTCTCATGTGCTCCCCAAATTTAGTAAGCAGTTCCAAAACAGAGTCAAATGCGGCTCGAATGTTCAAGAATACACTCACTCAAACTTTTTGAGAGCGTGAATAGCGGGTAATCCATATTCCAGTATTGGACGGACGTGGGAAGGAAACAGGAGCCTGAAGATCTCAGGCGTCATTTTTGAGAATGACCTCCGTATGGCGAAGAGTACCCTATTAACAGAGGCGACTTTCCGCAACGTATTTGGGATGGTTTTTAAGTCGGTGATATAATCACATCCAAGTCTTCAGAATGCACGTAGCTCAGCGGGAAACCACTAATGTGGTAGACGCCGAAAGGTTCTGGAGAAGCAATTGGAGGAAAATAGCATTTATCGTGGTTGATAGGTAACTGCCAGCTAACTGACCAGTCGTGCAGCGAATCGAGCGTCAGTTGTAATTTGTCCGAATCTTCAAGGCTAGATATTTCTGACCATAGTTTGAGATCATCAGCGTAGATCAAGCAGTTTGAAGCACATATGAAAGGTCGTTGATGAAGATTTGGAAAAGTTAAGGACCAAGGACGGAGCCATGTGGAACCCCAATGGTCATGAGAACTGGCCCAAAGCGAAGCACAATGAGCTTCACCGTCATGGTACGACCATAAAGAAATCAGCGAACCAGAGGAGAACATTGCCAGCAATGCCAACCTTCCGGAGCGGCCCGTAGCCTAGTTGTAACGAACTTGTCTCGTAATCTTGCGGCATGGGTTCGAATCCGCGTAGTTGTGGGCGTCCTCGCGCTATGCTTAGCCCGCATGTGACTGGTGGTGATCGCATGGCAGTGAAGCACCATTACGGCATACAAGGCTGGCTCGCCGAACAACCTCCTCGTGGTGCCAGCTGGGCGATTCGGGAATTTCCCGTTCCGGCGAATGGTTCGGCGGCAGTGTTCCAGAACGTAGTGGGTATTCGCTTGGCAAGCGTTCCCCCTATGAAAAGCCACAAATATCCAGCTAACAACACTGCGACGTGGCGGATGTGACTCGCCACTGAATAAAATCACTGCCCCTTGTCTGCTTTGGAGACATTGTACACCGGCAAGCAATTCGAATATCGAATCTTGTCTCTTACTTCGGGAGTTTTGGGCCCCTGGCATGGCTTACCATCATAAAAAGGCGTATGAACTGTGTGCAGTCATCGGTTTCCAACGGGTGCGAATCCCTCATCTCGTCCTGCAGCCTTGTGGGTTAGGTCCTTTGGCCAAAGGCTCGGGGCGGTGGTCCCCTAAGACAACCTACGTACCTCGGTCTAGGCAACCGGGTAGTATCACGCCAACTGACGAACCATGGACTTACAAGTACAAGTATCTACACGCGCTCTTGCCGCTACGAAAGCTGCGAATAGCGGCCTCCGGTCGGTTATTTTTAGCAGTGTTGACGGGATCACTTTGTGTTGGATTTCTTCGTTCATCGGAAGTATTTCTGATTCTGAAATTTCCGACCAGAAATACTTGTGTTTTCATCGCTTGGTTTCGGCGATCTTGATATCGCCATTTCCTCCGTCAATTGGCCACCATCTTGTTTTCGGATTATTCACAATGCCGAAGCAGTCACCCTGTGGTACTTGTTTCAAAATAGTCAGATACCGTGAAAATGCCCTCA